AGACAGTGTGATTGGCACAGGACAGAGCGGAGTTTAGGGCTGTTGTACATAGGGTCGCTATGAGTCGCAAGCGACTCGACGGCACATAACAACAACAGTGTTCCCTTGCTCTGTTTACACAACCGCCTCTTGGTCTAGGTATAGGTTTCTCATGAGCGCAATTGAATGTTCTGAGATTCCAATCTTCAAACTGTTAACCATAATTTGTTATGATCCATAGTCTAATGCCTTTGTGTAGTCAACAAAACACAAACATTCTTCCAATGTTCTTTGCTTTCAGGAGGAGCCATCTGGCATCTGCATTGATATTCCTGGTACTATGGCCTCTTCTAAATCCACCTGGAACTTCTGGCAGTTTTCTCTGTCTATGTGCTATTGTCGTAGCTGGTTTTGAGTGATGCAGCATTTTACTTACATGTGATATTAATTATATTGGTCAATAATTTCCATGTTCTATTGGATAACTTTTCTTTTGAATGAGAGCAAATATGGATCTCTTCCAGTCAGCCATCCAGTCAGCTGTCCTCCAAATATCCTGACACAGATTAGTGAACATTTTCAGGGCTGTATCTGTTAGTTGAAACATGTCAGTTGGTGTCCCATAAATTACTGGGGCCTTATTATTGCCTTCAGTACAGTTGAATTTCTTCCTTCATTTCCATTGACTCTTTAAAAAAAAAATATTTCCACAGTCCCTCCACCACCGTCACCAAGGTCTCACACTCACCAGGGTCTTGCTCCAATCTTTCCCATCTCATGCCACAAGTCTTACTTACCATTGACTCTTGATCATATGATGTTTCCTGAAATATTTCAATGTCAGCCAATTCTTTTTGGTACAGTGATTCTGTGTATTCCCTCCATCTTCTTTCTGATGCTTCCTGGATTACTGAAGATTTTGTCCATAGCATCCTTTGCTATTGCAACTCAAGGTTCGAATTTGTTTTTCATTTCTTTCAGCTTGAGAAATGCTGAGCGAGTTCTTCTCTTTTTATTTTCCAGTTCCAGTATTCTGTGTATTCCATTATAATACTTTGCTTTGTCTTCTCGAGCTACCCTTTGAAATTTCTGTTCAGCTATTTTAATTCAATATCGCTCCCTTCTTTTTTTTTTTTTTTTTGGCTTCTCAACACTCTAATGTAATTTTCAGAATCCCTTCTGACATCCGTTTTGGTTTTTGTCTTTCTGTTTTTGTAGTTACCTTTCACTGACTTCATGGATGATATCCTTGATGTCATCCAACAACTCATCCGGTCCTCAATCATTGGTGTTCATTGCTTCAATCCTATTCTTAAGATTATTTTTAAAAACCAGTGAGATAAACTCAGAATCGTACTTTGGTTCTCATGGACTTGTTTGAATTTTCTTCAGCCTCAGCTTGAACTTGCACATGAGTAATTGATTATCTGTTCCACAGTCAGCACTGGGCCTGGTTTTGACTGCTCATACTGGGTTTCTCCAACTGTGCTGTTCACAGATATAGTCAGTCTGATTCCTTTAGACTCTTTCTGGTGAGGTTCATGTGTAAAGTCACCGTTTGTGTTTTTGTAAAAATGTATTTGCAATGAGTAAATAATTGAATGTACAAACATCAGTCATTGAATTTTCAATCTCATTTCTGTCACCAAGTTTGTACTTTCCAAAAGCCATTCCGTCTTCATTCTTTATGCCTTTTGCGTTCAAGTCCCAGGTCATCATTAATGCATCTTGATTATGGATTTGGTCAATTTCAGGCTGCAAAAATTGGTAAAAAATATCAGTTTCCTCCTCTTGGACTTTAGCTATTGGTATATATATTTAAATATTCCATTACACCAGTAATATTAAAGGAACAGTTTAAAAAAGATTGTTTATATTCTAATTTTGAAGTAATTTATTAAGTAGCATAATGAGAATACATATTTCTTTTTAGCCATAATAGTTGAAACTGCCGTCACTTTTTTACTAACATTTCAAATTTAAGAAAGTTGTAAAAGAAACTACTACTTTGAAATAATTTCATTTCATTAATCAAAGAAAAATAGCCTGTGTTTTTATTTGGATCCCTTTGGCACCATATGATGGTAAGATATGTAAGTTAATCTTGATTAGGATGGTGGCCAAGAAACCAAAGAAAAGTTATCTTAATCTGGAACCACCACCTTTTTTTATTTTCCCTTCTCTATGTTACTCTCCTGATGTTGATTACTGAAAGGCTAGGACACTCAGCTCTGGTGACATGTGATTTTATTTCATTTTGTGTTTGATTTCTCTATACTTACATGAAGTAATCATGTAATGGCTAAGGGCTCAGGTTCTAGAACCAGATTAAGCGTGGCTTTATGTTTGCTGTTCATGTGACCTCAGCAGCTTCTTTAACTTCCCTAAGCATGTTCTGTCTGCAAACAAGAATAATATAATAACACAGGATTAAATCATCATATACGTTAAATGGCTATCTTTCTATTACTTTCATTTAGGCTTATGAAGATAAACTAGCTGACCAGTACTTCCGGAGAACTTTACTGAAGAAAGTGTGGAAAGCCTGGCATTCTACAATAGAAAAGCAGTGGAAGGATGTAGTGGAACGGGCGTGCCAAGCAAGAGCTGAGGAAGTTTGTCTCCAGATTTCCAATGATTATGAAAACAAAGTTGCTGTGGTAAAGCTCTTTTTAGTCACATTTTTCTAGTCTCTTGCAATCATAGCAACCCTATGTACAACAGCTCTAAACTCTGCTCTGTCCTGTGCCAATCTCATTGTCTCTGACAAACTTATCCTGATTGCCCCAGTCACCGAATCAATCCACCTCCCAGAGGGCCTTCCCCTCCTGTGCCCTCCACTCTCCCAAGCATGATGTCCTTCTCCAGGGACTGGTCTCTCCTTACAACATGACCAAAGTATGTCAGACGAAGCCTCAGAATCCTTGCCTCCAAGGAGCAGCCTGGTTTAACCCTCTCCAGGATGAATCAGTTTTTTTTCTTAGCAATCCATGATACCCTCAACACTCTTCTCCAACACCAAAGCTCAAAAGCATCAATTCTCCTTCTATCCTCCCTGGTCATTATTCAGCTCTCTGATGCATAACAAGTGATTGCAAAGACCATGGCCTGTATCAGATGCACCTTAGTCTCCAGAGACACACTGTTGCTCTTCAGAGGTCACTTTAGAGGTCCCTAACAGCAGACTTTCCCATTGCACTGTTATTTTTAATTAGATAGAATAACCCATTTCTCCAACACCTTTCACTACAATAGAGCTTTAAAAGAGATCATTTAGAAAGGATAAGATTAATAAGACAAATTACAGGCTTGTGTATTTCTTTAAATCGTAACAGGTCTAACCTCCAAATTTGTGTTTGGTCTTTTGGAAATATAGACCACCAATAGATATTAATACCTGTAAGGCATAATACTTTAAGTTTGCCTTTAACATAGACAAAAATGAAAATCAAACCCAGAAATGGTTCCTTAATGATAATTTACAAACTATCTTCTTTTAAGATTGGTAACAATTTCATACATATTGATTTCTTTTTCCCACTGACTTTTAGTAATAAAGTTAACATTATTTCCATAGGAAAACATTTGGTTCCAAAATAAAGTAAAAGCCACACTGAAACTTTCAGTGGGCCTCTTGATTTCAGATACTGAAAGGAGCAGGGCAGGTAGGCAGAGGGGGTGTTTAAAACTTTTTGTTGTGATTTGAGTGAAAACTTACAGATCATATTGGTTTTCCATTCAACAATTTATACACCTTCTATTTCATGACATTGATTACAGTCTCCACATTATTACAACACTCTTCCCACTTGTTCCTTGTGTTTCCTGTTTCCCTTTGTCCTTTTCTAGCCATTCTTGCTCTTTGAGCTTTAGCTTTGGCCAAATGTGGCCGTTTCAGTCTTACATGGTTGAGTGCTTTCATCCTTGGTATTATTAATCAACTTATAGGTCTCTATTGTTTGACTCAAAAATGTACAGTGAACTGCTATGCGATTAACTGCCTCTGAAAACCCACTTGAAGGGTCAGCTCCGGTTCCAAATTGAGCATATGCAAAAGCAACATTGTATAGTTAAGTCTCTGGAGTGATTGTAGTTCCAGAATTGAAGAGGATCTAAGGACCGTAGTCTTGGGAATTCTACAAGCCACTGTCTTTAGCCTGGTCTTTTTTATTAATTTTTAGTTTTATTGCACATTTTCTTCCTCCTCTTTCAGGACCTTCTGTTATGATCTCTTTCAAAGTGGTGTCTGGACATCATCTAATTCTTTTGGTCTCAGAGTCATGAAGACTGATACTCATGTGATTCATTAATCCTTTTAGACTTTGTTTTTCTTCTTTCTTCTTGCTACTGGTGGGGAAAGACCAAAATACACACCTGATAAGGCTGTTCACAGGCTCTTAAATCTCCAGTCACTACTCACCTAAGGAGGATGTTGTATACTGTATTTGTGAACTGTATTATGCCAAATGACCTTGGTGTTCTTCCACAACTGTGGTCATGAACTCCAAAGCCCAGCAACTCAACAACTCATTCTTTCAAGGTGTTTGTTGTTGTTGTTTCTCATGGGATTAGAACAGATTCATAGCTGACCCAGACTGTCAGTGGATTTTCAGAGGCTATAAATCACACAGGAGTAGACTGCCCATCTTTCTACCACAGAGTAGCTGGTGAATTCAAACCGCATGCCCTTGAGTTGACTGTACTTCTTACCACTAGGCTACCTGAACTCTAGATGTTTACTTATTGGCCGAAACATTTTACTACATTTTCCCCTTGTTTGTCTTGCTGTATAAGTGGACCTGTTTACAGTCAGATGCCTATGTAGAAGTATCATATGCCAGTATGATAATGGCTGTAGTCTCATTCACCTGTGCATACCTGTCCATCTTGCCTGTCAACCTGGGTACCCACTAGTAGATTGCTGTCTCCTATTACTGATAATGCTAGATTGTGTTGTTGTTATAGCAACCCTATGTACAACAGCCCTAAACTCCGCTCTGTCCTGTGCCAATCGCACTGTCTGTGACACTCCCATCCCAATTATCCCAGTCACTGAATCAATCCACCTCATAGAGGGCCTTCCTCTCCTGCGCCGTCCCTCCACCCTCCCAAGCATGATGTCCCTGTCTAAGGACCGGTCTCTCCTCACTACATGTCCAAAGTAAGTTAGACGGCGCCTCAGAATCCTTGCCTCCAAGGAGCCACCCGGTTTAACCCTCTCCAGGACAAATCTATTTGTTTTCCTAGCAGTCCATGGTATTCTCAATACTCTTCTCCAGCACCACAGCTCAAAGGCATCAATTCTCCTATCCTCCTTGGTCATTGTCCAACTCTCTGATGCATAACAGGTGATTGCGAAGACCATGGCCTGTATCAGACGCACCTTAGTCTCCAGAGAGACACCACTGCTCTTCAGCACTTTGGAGAGGTCCCTAACAGCAGACTTTCCCATGGCAATGCGCCTTTTAATTTCCTGGCTGCTGGTGCCAAGACTGTTGACTGTGGAGCCAAGCAAACTAAAGCTGTGTACAATCTCAATCTCTTCACCATCCATCCTGATGCTGCCAATTGGTCCAGTGGTGAGAATCTTTGTCTTCTTGACATTGAGCCTCAATCCATACTGTAGGCTGCAGTCCTTGACACTCTGCAGCAGGCGCTTCAGGTCCTCCTCAGTTTCAGCAAGCAGGGTTGTGTCATCTGCATAACGCAGATTGTTGATAAATCGTCCACCAATCTTGACCCCACATTTCTCCTCATAGAGCCCAGCCTCCCGGATAATCTGTTCTGCATACAGGTTGAAAAGGTATGGAGATAGGATGCATCCCTGGCGTACGCCCTTCCCAATTTTGAACCATGCAGTGTTCCCTTGCTCTGTTGTGACGACTGCCTCCTGGTCCAAGTATAAGTTTCGCATTAGAACGATCAAGTGTTCTGGGATTCCCATTCTTCTCAGAGTCAGCCACAGTTTGTTATGATCTACACAGTCAAATGCCTTTGCATAGTCAATGAAACACAGATAGACATTCCTCTGGTATTCCCTGCTTTCAGCCAAGATCCATCTAACATCAGCTACAATATCTCTAGTACCACGACCCCTTCTGAAACCAGCCTGGACTTCTGGTAGTTCTCTGTTGATGTGCTATTCCAGTCATTTTTGGATAATCTTCAGTAAAATCTTGCTTGCATGTGAAATCAGTGATTGTTCTGTAGTTTCCAAATTCTGTTGGGTCACCTTTCTTTGGGATAGGAACAAATATCGATCTCTTCCAGTCAGTTGGCCAAGTGGTCGTTCTCCAGATTTCTTGGCACAACTTGGTGAGCACGTCCAGGGCAGCATCTGTTAACTGAAATATGTCAATTGGTATACCATCTATTCCTGGAGCCTTATTTTTTGCCATTTCTTTCAAAGCAGCCTGAACTTCTTCTTTCATCACCATAGGCTCTTGCTCATATGTTGTTTCATGAAATTCTTCTGTGTCTGCCAATTCCTTTCGATACAGTGACTCAGTATATTCTTTCCATCTTCTTTTAATACTTCCTGGATCATTTAACATTCTGCCGAAAGCATCCTTGATTATAGCAACTCGAGGTTTGAATTTGTTCTTCAGTTCCTTTAGCTTAAGATATGCTGAGTGAGTAGATTGTGTAGGCAATAATTTTTCCCTTTGTTGCCAGTAACTCTTGGGGTTCTATCCATGACTCTCCCTTAGTAGTATTATGTATTATTTTAACACTAACTTCCTAATGTTAAAAATTCGTTTTCTGATACAAATAACATTCTATACTTCAAAATGTCATGCAGGGGGTTTTTTAATGTCCTTTTTAAGTTAATACCTAATATCATTTTTCATTTTAAATTCTGTAGATCGTATTCAGTAGAAAAAAAATCTTAATATTTCATTTGTTGTTGTCGTTGTTGATTGCCTTTGAGTCAAGCACTACTCGTAGTGACCCCATGAACAAAAGGCCTGATTTCATGCAGTCTTTTTTTTTTCTTAAGGCTAAGAGCAATTTGTGGCCTTAGTATATTTTGCCACGTATGCGTTTTATGTTAAGAAAGAACATACCCCTTTAAATTTAAATAATTTTAAAAAACAACCTGTAGTAAAACTGGTATAATATTCCCCTTGTTACATAGTTGACTTTACTTGTTATATAGTTGACCCTTGACTTTATAGTTAGGAATAAGAATGACTTTTGATGGAGACCCTAGAGGTACGATGATCATGTAGGTAAGATGAATCTTTTAAATTGAGGCACCTAGCAGGGAGGTGTATGTGTGGCTGATTCCTTTTTGTTGTTGTTGTTATTTCTTTTTGTAAATTTTTTTTCACATACATGGCAAACCCACTCTATTTACTATTTGATGATATAAATGTATTTTAAGATTAGAATTATTTCTTGGGTCTCAAATCTTTTTCACTTGCATCTTTTCAAAATTCTCTTTATTTTAGTTATCTGGAGCTTTGGAAAATGCAAAAGCAGAGATACAAAGAATGCAGCATGAAAAAGAACAATTTGAAGATTCCATGAAAAAAGCTTTCATGAGGGGTGTGTGTGCATTAAATCTTGAAGCCATGACTATATTTCAAAGCAGAAACGAAACAGGTTAGTTTGGTTTTTGTTTTGGTTTGTTTTTTAAGATTCTCTGGCTGTAGACCTGACTTCTCCAGCGTTGATATGGTTCATTTTATGGCGTCATATAAATGTTTTAAGTCAGCCAGATGGCTCAGTCAAGTTTACTTATCTTTGGCCTGATCAAGTGTGTTTCCATCTCTTTGCACATATTAAAATAATGCTTTTAATTTGTACAGCAATTTTAAGTCTCTATAGCTTATATATCTAATGTTTTAAAGTACAGACTGTCTTAGCTTTGATTTTTTTTCCTTAACTATAGTTTCCTTCTATTTTTTTTTCTGGTTGACTTAAAAATTCCGTATACATTCTTTTTCACACTTTATCTTTCCCATTTCCTAAGCCCACCGCTCCTTCTACACATCAGATTGTGCAACTTGCCCCCCCCTCCCAGCTTCACCCCTGTGCTCTCTGCTCCCACCTTTAGATCCTCATAACACATGTTACTAGTTATCTATTTCTACTGTAACGGTCTTATACAGTATTTGTCCTTATGGGACTGAGTTCACTTAGCATAATCCTCTCCAGTCCCTCCCAAGTTAGTTAGTGATTTACAAAATCATTGTTCCTGCATGCTGTGTAGTGTTCCATCATGTGGTGTACCATAATTTCTTGGTCCATTTGATTGTAGTCGGACATGTTCTTGCAATGATGAATAACACTGTTATGTACATTGGTGCACAAATCTCCATTTGCACCTCAGTTCTCATTTTCTTAGGATATATTCCAAAAAGTAGAATAGCTGGGTAATATGAAATTTCTACGTTCAGCTTTTTAAGGAAACGCCAAACTGCCTTCCAGAGTGCTTGCACCATTTTACAATCCCACCAACAGTGGATAAGAGCTCCCTGCTCTCCACATCCACTCCAAAATTTATTACTTGCTGTCCTGTTAAACTCTGCCACTGCTACTGGTGTGAGATGGTATCTCATTGCCAGTGATTTTGAGTATTTCTTCATCTGTATTGGCCATCTGAATATCTTCCTCTGTGAAAATTCATTCCATGTCTTTTACGCATTTTGTAATTGTATGATCAGTTTTTTCCTTGTGGAGGCCCTGTAATTCTGTAGACTTTTGATTTATTGCCATATGTTTTTTTCCTCAGTCAGTAGGTTAACTTTCAACTCTGTTGGAAAATAGTTTTGATGCACACAGCGATTTAATCTTTAGAAGGTTCCATTCATCAATTTTATCCTTTACAGGTTGTGCATTTTTGGACGTATTTGGCCTTCTCTTTGTACCATAGATGAGGCCAACTAAGCTTTTCCGAGTTTGTCTCAGATGAAATTTATGGTTTGGGGCCTTCCTCTCAGGTCTCATGAGTTGAGTTTTGTGTATGGTATGGTATGATATGTAGATCCTGTTGCAGTTCTCTGAAGATAGCAGTCCAGTTTTGCCAGCACAATTTGTTAAAGAGGTTGTCATTTCCCCATGCAATAGGTTGTATTTTCTTGTTGTATATCAATTGACTACAGATAGCTGGGTCCATTTCTGGGTTCTCAGTTCTTTTCCATTTGTCTGTGTGCCTGTCATTGTACCAGTACCATGCTGTTTTTGTTGCTACCACTATGTATTAGTTTTTGAAGTCAGGGAGTGCTATGCCTCCCCCTTCTTTTTTTTTTTTTCCCAGAAGTGTTTTGCTTATTCATGGTTTTTTCCCTCTCCAAATAAACGTGACAATTTCCCTTTCGATCTTGAAAAATTAATTTGATATCTGTATTGGGTACATTTAACACGTAGATTGCTTTTGGTAGAATTACCATTTTCACTATGTTGAGTCTGCCTGTCCAAGAACAAGGGCAGAATTTTCCATTTATTTAGATCTTCTATTGTGTCTTGCAGAAATGTTCTATAGTTTTATTTGTGCAGGTATTTTGTGTCTCTAGTTAGATTCACTCCAGATATCTCAGTTTGTGGTTGGCTATTGTAAATGGTATTGCTTTCTTGGTTTTCTTCTTTGAGTTCTGTTTGTTAATGTAGAGGAATCCTACTGACTTTTGGATATTGATCTTATATCCTGCGACTCTCCTAAATTGATATACTACCTCTAAATAACAATTTTTTTGTTGTTGAGTCCTTGGGGTTTTCTGTGTACACTGTCATATCTGTATATAGTGACAGATTAACCATCTCTTTGCGAATCTGGATGCCTTTTCCCCCCTGTTCTCTTGTCATATTGCCCTGGCAAGTACTTTAATACAATTTTGAATAGAAGTGGTGACTGCGGGCATCCTTGTCTGGTTCCTATTTGTAAGGAAAATGCTTTCAGTCCTTCTCCATTGAAAATTATATTTGCTTTTGGTTTTACATACACACTTTTCACTATGTTGAGGAAATTTCCTTTTATTCCAGTTTTGCTGAGTGTCTTTATCAGGAAGAGGTGTTTTTGGGTTTTGTCAAATGTCCTTTCTGCATCAATTGCTAAGATCATAGGGTTCTTGTTATTTGCTTTGCTAATGTGATGAATTACACAAAATTGTTTTTATTATGTTGAACCATTCTTGCATACCTGTTAGGAATCCCGCTTGGTCATGATGTTTTTTTTTTTAATGTGCTTTTGGATTCTGTTGGCTAGGATTTGTTAAGAATCTTTGCATCTAGATTCATGAAAGAGATTGGTCTGTAGTTTTCTTTCTTGTTTATATCGTTGCCTGATTTTGGTATTACGGTTATCCTTGCTTCATAAAATGACTCTCGAAGTGTTCCTTCCTTTCTATTTTTTCAAATACTTTAAGTAGAATTGATGATGGATCTTCTCTGAAAGTTTGGTAGAATTCAGCTGTGAAGCCATCTGGTCCAGGACTTTTCTTAGGGGGAAGTCTTTTCATAACCTGTTCATTTTCTTCTTTTGTGATGGGTCTGTTCAAGTGTTCTACATCTGTTGTGGTCAGTCTGGGTGGGGCATGAGTATCAAGGAATTTGTCCATTTCCTCTAGGTTTTCTAATTTATCAGAGTTTAGCTTTTCATACTATTTTGATATTATTGATTGAATTTCCTCTGGTTCTGTTGTGATGTCACTACTATTATTTCTTAGTTGAGTTATCTGGTCTTCTCCCTTTTTTTCTTTTGTTAAGTTTGCCAGTGACTTGTCAATTTTATTGGCTCAGCATTTCTTAAGCTCAAGGAACTGAAGAACAAATTCTTTTTTTTTTTTATTTTATTATTTTTGTGTGCGTGTACCGTCAAATCAGATCTGACTGGTACAGGAGGAGATTATCCCTCCTTTCCCGGCAGAGCATCTGGTGGATTCGAATGAAGAACAAATTCAAACCTAGAGTTGCTGTAATCAAGGATGCTTTGGCAGAATATTGAATGATCCAGGAAGTATTAAAAGAAGATGGAAGGAATATACTGAGTCATTGTATAGAAAGGAATTGGCAGATACAGAAGAATTTAATGA